GCAAAGACTCCCCAAGCAGCTGAGGGCCTCTCTCTCTTCCTCTAGCGCTGTTGCTGGGGCTGGTGGTCCAGGGGGGCTCTTACTCCTTGGAGGCCATGTGGACCATGAGGTCCACCACTCTGTGGCTGTAGCCAAATTCATTGTCATACCTGGAAGGGCAAAGGAGACACGATAAGGGCCAGTGCTCAGAGCCAACCACCAGAGGGCGCCAAACCCTTAAAGGCACTGCCCCCCAACCCCGCTTCCAGGCACCCACCAGGAAATGAGCTTGACAAAGTGGTCGTTGAGGGCAATGCCAGCCCCAGCATCAAAGGTGGAAGAGTGGGGGTCACTGTTGAAGTCACAGGAGACAACCTGGGGAAAGGCCAAGCATCAAACATGGGAGGTCTTCCTGGCTAAGGAAGGGGGCAGGATATAGGAGCCCAGCTTCTGGTCCTCTCTATACCTGGTCCTCAGTGTAGCCCAGGATGCCCTTTAGGGGCCCATCGGCTGCCTGCTTCATCACCTTCTTGATGTCATCGTACTTGGCCTAACAGGATAGAAAAGAAGATGGTGACTCACCTAGCAACCTCACTGCAGCTTAGCCAGACAACCCCGCGGCTCCCCAACCTTACAGCTTTCTCCAGACGGCAGGTGAGATCCACGACGGACACATTGGGGGTGGGGACACGGAAGGCCATGCCAGTCAGTTTCCTGTAGACAACAGGTCAACTGGAGTCAGCCCCCACCCTCCCTGGCCCTCTGCCAGTCCTCAGCCCCCCCAGGCCCCCAAAGGCAGAAAGCAGTGGAGAACCTCACCCATTCAGCTCGGGGATAACCTTGCCCACAGCCTTGGCAGCGCCAGTAGATGCGGGGATGATGTTCTGAGCAGCCCCACGGCCATCACGCCAGAGTTTCCCAGAGGGGCCGTCCACAGTCTTCTGGGTGGCAGTGATGGCATGGACTGTGGTCTGCAAACATGAAGGCAATGAGGGCCTGAGGAGGCTTTACCATCCCCCTGTCCCTCAATAACTCCCTGCCCTTCCTCCTCCCCCCTTCAAGGATATTAAAGGAACTCCTGGTGCCCCATGACCCTGGTTCTAAGGAGGATCCTGGGTAAGCAACAGTTCTGGTGCCTTTCCCCAACACACTCATACCATGAGTCCTTCCACGATGCCAAAATTGTCATGGATGACCTTGGCCAGGGGGGCTAAGCAGTTGGTGGTGCAGGAGGCATTGCTGAAAAGAGGGCAGCCGTCAGAGAAAGGCATGTCTACCTGGTGACCATTCCCCAGAGCCCCGTACACATCCTCACCTGACAATCTTGAGGGAGTTATCATACTTCTCGTGGTTCACGCCCATCACAAACATGGGGGCATCAGCAGAAGGGGCAGAGATGATCACCCTTTTGGCACCGCCCTTCAAGTGAGCCCCAGCCTTCTCTACGGTGGTGAAGACACCAGTGGACTCTACGACATACTCAGCACCGGCCTCAGCCCACTTGATGTTGGCGGGATCTCGCCTACATGGGCAAACAGGGCAAAGTGCAAAATCGTGAAACACTGTGTACCTAGAGGGGTCACCCTGCCCCAAAGCAAAGTTCTCCCTGTCCTGTTTTCCACTCACTCCTGGAAGATGGAGATGGCCTTCCCATTGATGTTAAGCTTCCCATTCTCAACCTTGACAGCGCCATTGAACTTGCCGTGGGTGGAATCATACTGGAACATGTAGACCATGTAGTGCAGATCAATGAAAGGGTCATTGATGGCAACAATGTCCACTTTGCCAGATTCGAAAGCAGCCCTGGTGACCAGACGCCCAATGCGGCCAAATCTGAGGTTGGTAAAAGGTAAGCGGAGGTGTGAGCAGGGAGGAGGGGGGATTTCCTGGGGCAGGTAAACAGCCAGTTTAAAAAGGGATAAAACACAACATGTTACTGTATGCCGAATGTTACAAGACAGCTCATTTTCCCTGCTTTACTGCAGAATCCTAACCTACACCTGGAGAGGTTAGGTTCAAAGGTCACCCCGTTGTCCCCCAACCACTGGGAGCCCCTTATGGAGAAGTGGCAGTGCAGTGCACCTGCAGTCTGAGCACATGCCAGGCACGTGGCATCCACACGCCTCCACCTGTGTCCCCAGAATGCGGGCTCCCAGCACCTCAGGCCAGACCCTCGAGGGGGGGAGGGGGACAGACTTGTGCACTCAGCAAGCTCAAAGGGCAGGAGCAAAGGTTAGGAACCAACCGGAAGGGACAGGTAGAGCCCTCCCCTTCTCCAAGCCCCTCCCACCACCGGGAGGATGCAGGAGGCTTTACTCACCCCCACCCCCTAGCTGATTGGCTGCTTTCTTTCTAGCTGTTTCCAAAATTCAGGAGTAGCAACAGCCGTGTTCAGGTAGGCCAATGGAAAAGAAGCCCAAGCCCCCAGCTACAGAAAGGTCAGGCAGCTATATTTAACCTCAGATTAGGCTGGAGAGTGGGGAGATCTGGTTTCTATTAGACAGAATTAGGGAAAGGGCAAGATTCCCAGGACCCGGACACCTAATCCCCCCGGTGACCTTTAGAGCTCTGGCCTTTAGGGTTGGGTCAGGCCTAGGCATGGATGAGCAAAGGGGCTAGGAGGTTAGAGGCTTTCGGCCAAGGCAGCCTTCTGACATGGTCATTTCACTACCGTGACTCAGCTCGTCCGGTTTCTAAGGGAGCCAGTTCCTATCCCTCCCAAAACAAAAGGGCACCCCACCAACCCAGGAAAACCTCCAACTGAGGAAAACATCTGGCTGAAGACTCAGAGGATGGTGGTGGGCTACTACGGTCAGAAGATTTAGTTCCGCAGCCCATCGCTTTAGAAAGGGGGGCAAGCTGGCTTAGCGGTGAGATCAAGGGGACTCCACCCTGAGTCTGAGGCAGTGGAAGTGTTATTCGTCAGAGGCGAGAAAGGAGGAAGCGCGCAGGGCTAAGGAAGGTTTCCTAACTGGTCCATTCATTTCCTTCCAGTTGCGACAAAGCAAGTGGGTTCCTGCACAAGACACGCCCCAGCGGGTCGCTGCGCAGGCACCCCGCGTACCGTGATGCCCCGAGAGAGGAAGGCGGCTGGTGGAGGAGGGGCGTCTCCCTGGGCACGTGATCTCCCAGGGCGCGAAAGGAAAGAAAGGAGCGGGGGGAGGGGAGGTGGGATTACGGGGGATGGACCCGAAGGCAGAATTGGGGGCGCTCGGGTTTCTGGGAGGCGCGCGCAGTGGAAAGCTCCAGGCGCCGCGCGGCTCGTCCCCAGCCAGCGGGGGCGGAGCTACGGGAGGCGCAACAGCTGATGGTGGGGGGCCAGAGAGCCCCGAGCGGCGGGAGCTTCCGCCAGGTCGGGGCGCTGACCTTGAGTTCTCCTTGGGAGAGACGGCACGGCCAACCCCTCCCACCTTCCACCCTTCCCACGGAGGCGAGATATTTGCTGACGCCATGCGATGGGTACGGCCCGCAACCTAGCCGCCCAACTCCATGCCCCACCCTGCCCCGGAGCCCGACTCACCCGTTCACTCCGACCTTCACCATCGTGTCTCGGGATGCGGCTGCGGGAGGGAGGGGAGGACGATGAGCGTCCGCGATGACGGATGCATGGCGCCCAGGGCGGCCCCCCCCCACCCAGCTGCGCCCTGGCCTCCATTCCCACCGCGCGCCGCATCACGTCCGCCCACCTGCAATGCGGAGCTCCGGCCCCGCACGTCCCCGCGCCTGCAGCCGCCCAGCCCGGCCCCGCTCCTCCCGAGCCACCCGCCGGCCCTGGGTCGCCCTGTTTCCCCTTGTAGCTTACCTGGGACTGCACGGGAGCGGGAGAGGCGGCTGTCTGTCGCACGAGGAGGAGCAGAGAGCACTGGGGGTGGCTGCCGCCCCAATTTATAGAGCTCGGTGTGGGCAAGGAGGGGGGTGCGGGGGAGAGTCCGTTACGCGGGCCCCGCCTCCCGTCCTCCTCGTCCAGTCCCAGCCCCAAGGCGCCGAGACACGAGCTACGTGCGCCCGTAATACCGCGAGTAGCAGGGCCGCCCCGCCCCCCGCCCCCCGCCCGTCTGCACGCTCTCCCTGTGCGCACGCACGGACCGAATGGACGCCCGGATGGGGACGGGCTGGGGGCTGGGATGGACCGGACTCGAGGATCCGGGCCACTGAGGAGAACTGAGGGCATCGGGGAGCCGGGGGGCGATACAGTTGCTGGTCGTTTGAAACGAGAGGACTTAGGGAGCCCGTGCGGGGCAATGCAGGTTAGCGGAGGAAGCCCAGCGCGGGCGTGCGCCTGCACGCGGCCACCGCCTCCACCTTTTTCATCAGGATGGAAAGCCGAGGAACCTCTCCTCCAGCCTCTTTGGTAGTGACTCTGATCAGCTGGGGAAGAGGCCTGGGAGGGGCTGCGCCTCCTCCGGCGGAGCCCTGCCCAGCCCCCACTTCCTCCTCCTCCTCCTCGTCCTCTGGCCCCGGGCCGGGCGCTGGGCAGCGGGGCCTGGAGAGCGAGGCGGCTCAGCGGAGGGCTGGTGGGGGTGATTTCTGCGGTGAAGGTCACCGTGCCCGGCCGCTCGGAGGCCCGATAATTGGGGCACATAAACCGGGCCTTGTGTGCACCAGCTGCTCTCCTCCCAGCCCCCAGTCTCGGGATGCACAGGGACCGAGGTCTCCCACAAAGTCGCTCCTCGGGACGTGAGGACTGTGCCACCCAGGCTGGGACACAGTACCTCTTTCACCCCGCCAGCGCAGAGCTGCAGGAGCGGGACGTGAGGGCGGAAGTCCCTCCCCATCCTGGGACGTGCAGACTAGCCTGCGAGCCAGGGACTCCGCTGGTTGCTGCCCGGGCCAAGTGGAGGGGAGGGTGAGGAGTCCAGAAAAGAGACACATGGGATGGGCGGGTGTTGAATCTTGGGTACCGGAGAGAAAAGAGGGCTCCGTGGCGGGTGGGGGTGGGGTTAGACCTTGCCCTTGAGCTAATGCAGGAAGGGAGGGGGCGCTGGGAGCCTCTTTGCTGGCTCAGTGTAACCTGAGACCAGCCCCCCTGCCCTTCAAGCTGAAAGCCGGAGGCTAAGTTTAGACTTTAGCTTAAAAGGCTAGGAGTGCTCGGGGCCCTGCACCCCCACTGCAGCTCGTTCTGGGGTTGCCCTCCCAGAGCCAAGGCTGCATCTATCCCTGGCAGCCACCTGCCTGGTTGGTGCCAAACTGTCACGAAAAGGGTGCAAGGCGCGAGAGGCCCGGAGAGGGGGGCGAGTTGCAGAGCCCAGGAGGATGCTTGCCAGGGCCGCAGTGAGGGAAGAGGAGGAGGCGCCTGCACAGGTAGGCTGTCCTTGACCCTTTCCGCCCAAAGGCCTTAGAGCCCCTCCCCGCTCCCAGGCTGCCCAAAGCGCGATTCGGAGGCAGCTCCTTCCCCTTTGACAAATGCTAGTCATTTTTCTCTACGATCCATTGCAGGGCCGTGGGGGTGGGGGTGGGGGGACAACCAAAAAAATGGGAGCTCGGTGCTCAGGGAATACTGACGTCTGCAGTTGTCATGACAACAGAGCCACCAGCAGACTCATTGCCTTCTATTCCAAGTGACTCAGCAGAGAGCAGACTTGGAGAGTTGGACCAAAGCAGCTTAGCCCTATGGCCTGCACCAGAGGGGCTTGACCTCCAGACAGCCTGTCTCCTTCCCTCAGTGAGCTACATCAGCCACCCAAACTCAGCTGGGGTTAGTAATCACAGTGGGGGCGAGCTGATGGGCAGACAGACAACCAGCCTCTGGACCAGAACAGGGTTTCTGGTATGGATTGTTCGAGGAGGTCCGTGCAGTCCATGTTAGATGCGAATAGCAACCCTATCCCCAGTTACACAACATGAAAGTATTTCCTGGAACTGTGGGATGTCTCCTGAGGGGTAAAACTGCCCCACCCACCCCTAAACAGAACTGTTAGGATGTCGGTATTGACACCCATTTCCACAACCTTGTCATGTGTTCAGGCTAGGGAGGCTGAGAAGAGAGATGGTGCATGAAGCTTATCAGACCCCAAGCCAGGCTCCAGAAGTCCTGGACCCCACCCTCTTCTGGATCGACAACCTCTACCTTTTTCCTGGGTCCTATAGGGTTGCTATGCTGTAGAAGCACTCAAGGCAATGAGTTTATTATGTATTGATCATATGCTGCCCAAATGTGAGCTACTGTGAAAGTTGAATAGACAAGATGAGAGATGTCTTAAAACATCACTGATGGTAGGATTGTAAACCGGTGCAGCCTCTATGGGAAAGAGTAAGGCCCTTTCTCTAAAATCAAACCATTCCCTAGAACAGTGGTTCTCAACCTGTGGGGTCGAACGACCCTTTCACGGGGGTCACCTGATGTATCCTGCAAAACAGTAACAAAATGCCAGTGATGAAGTAGCAACGAAAGTAATTTTAGGGTTGGAGGTCACCACAGCATGAGAACTGTATTAAAGGGTCACGGCATTAAGAAGGTTGAGAACCACTGCCCTAGAACTACCTTTATGACCTAGCAATCCCACTGCTAGGTATTTACTCCAGTTACCTAGTAAGAGATGTGAGCAGGCATGCACATCCAGGGTCACAATACTAATCGCAATAGCAAGAATGCATCTCATATATCTGAAAATTCCACCTTCAGACCCTGCCTCCTTCTTCCTTTCCGTGAGGTGGCAGGAGCTGAGGGACTCGTTAGAGTACATATCCCAATGAACAATCCGGAGGAGCAAACAA